TGGTCTTCAACCTTCCAAAATTCTCCCACACCACGCCGCTCCTCCGCTCCCTTCACTGGCTTCCAGTAACTGCTAGAATCCACTTCAAAACACTGGTACTTGCGTACCATGCTGTGAATGGATCTGGCCCTTCCTACATCCAGGACATGGTTAAACCGTACACCCCAGCACGTGCACTCCGCTCTGCATCAGCCAAACAGCTCGCTGCACCCGCACTGCGAGGGGGACCCAAGTTCCCATCAGCAAAAACACGTGGGTTTGCTATCCTGGCTCCAAAATGGTGGAATGAGCTCCCCATTGACATCAGGACAGCAGAAAGCTTACACATCTTCCGGCGCAGACTGAAAACTCATCTCTTTCGACTCCACTTCGAGCAATAAAATAAAATAAAATAAAAATAAAAAAAAGCACTTATATACTAACAAAGCACTTATATACTAACAAAGGACTGGCTTATCTAAAACCTGTTGAGTATCACTTGAAATGTTTTAGCTCTATGAAACCTGATGTATTTATATGATTCTGTTTTCTTCAAGTTTGTATCTTCTTGGTCGAATGCACTTATTCTAAGTCGCTTTGGATAAAACCGTCAGCTAAATTAAATGTAATGTAATGTAAATTGTATTTGTGTTGGTTGCAGTTGGAATTAGACATTTTCTGCATTAAAATAATGTCTCTTCCTACTATTAAGGGAAGAAATATCACATTAAAAAACTCATTTTAAAAACCAAACGGTATATGGGTCTAACAAACAGCCTTAACAATTACAACAACAGATGTATGGAAAATATCATTAACGTAATACGTGAAATAACCTGGCAGGAAACACAGTTGCTACAAAATGTTGTTTTGTGAGTTTAAACCAAAATATATTTGGTTATCAATGAGATAAAAGAGAAGGGAATCTCCACACTTAAGAGACTTCTCTATTTTTGTCATTTTTGCATAAAAAATTACTTTAACGATTAATCGATTCTCAGAAGTTGTTGATTATTTTGCAGTTGCTCAACTTCTCTTGCAGCTCAGGTTCATGCCTCCATCTGTTCTTTAAAGGTCTTCTTTTTCTTAGACCTATGGATGAAGTAACCTGTTTAAAGGAGGCAGTTTGTAGTGTGTGTATGGGGGGGGGTGCTAATGTGTGTTAATGTCCCCCTAAGCGTGTGTTCAGGGCCCCGGGCACCAGAGGATTCCTGCGTCCTGTTTGAATCCTGTTTGTTTGTGTTGACGCAGCAGTATTTGACTGTAAGGAAACCAGCTGGTTCATCAACTGACATCTCCCTCTCTGGCTCTCATAGGCAAATGTCTCTCTCTCTAGTATGCATAGTCAACACGGATTAAAACAAACTGTGGGCCTACTGAGAGTTAAAGGGAATTCATCTATTTAAAAATTAAGAATTAAAAAAGATGAATCAATAAATCGTCCAATATTCAATTTACTGGCATCTATAATCCGTTTTAAGTCATTTCTTTGAAAGTGACATTTAAAGACCTGATGTTGCATTTTTAGAAACTTATGGACAATTTAGTCTGGAATCACTTAGCCTGCTAACACGAGACCACTGTTATACTGTGTATACTGTGTGTACTTTATCGTTTTTATATATGTCATATTATACTATAAATTATACTGCTTCTCTTGCATGTTTTGGTAAAATGCTACATAACTGCATTTCCTTGTCTCAGTACTCAGTGTGGTGACAATAAAGTTGAATCAAATATAATCTAAAAAATGTAATAGAAATCTCATTGTGTAAATATTTGCAAGCATCAATGGTGCACTCCACGACATTTTCACAGTATCAGTATCAAGGCACCTGGTGAACGAATGTTGTCCTTTGCATACAGTAGGTACCAATGACGTGCCAATAGCATCTCCCTTAGTACAGGCTAAAATTGGTGACCTATTGTTTCATACAGGTCAACGGGAGCCAGTAAAAGTTCAACAAACATAAGGTAAAGGTCAAGATGAAGTTAAGAGGAGTGGGCGAAAGAACAGGAAACACACACACACAGATTGGCACATTGGAAATCTCTGTTGGACATACTCGTACCACTTCCTTTTCCTGCCATACATAGCTGCCACTTTCTCTGTGTGTTAAAGGTTGTGTTATTGTCAGTACGTCACCTGATGAACTCTCTGATCGTCGGAGTTATGAACTCATTACCTTTGTTTCAGACTAGCTTTAAGAATACTTCCAAATACAGATTTACAGAAGGTGCTTATGTTACTAACTTTGTCTATTTGTCACTGTGGATTTCTCCTAAATTCAGTAAAAGTAAGCTTTAGATCAGCGGCTTTCAAAGTGTGAGGCGCGCCTCCCCTGGGGGGCCCAAGAGAGCTTCAGGGGAGGCGCAGCGTGAGAAAAAAATAACGAGAAACAGTGAAATCTAGCTAGTTAACTTCAGCTAACTTTATGCGAGCGGCAACATGGATCGATTTTTTGTGAAGTTACCTAAAGTGAAAGAGGAGACAGCGTCTGGCAGAAAACGTCAGCTTTGTTTTGAAATAAAAGTTGTGGCTCATCGGACATTTATGAGAGAAAATCCCCAATGTCCGAGTGCAAGTGAATGCAGCACAAGATGTGAGCGCCTTGTAAACTCCCTCCCCCCGGCCCTGGCGCGAGCGAAAATGTGATTGGCGGACGATTTCATTTGGAACGGGGACGGCGCATTCGGACCCCGAGGTAGATGGGAAGGAATGGACGAATATTTGCGTCTAACAGTGAACAAGAGAAGACGACTGTGAAGTTTGGCTCCGTACTCAGCATTGAATCCAAAACGCCACTAACAGCTGTTGATCTTAATACGTGTGTAGTGGTTTTGCTGAACAAGCATGGTACATCGCCGCCATTCAGCTCTTATAGGCGTGGCCAACTTGATGCTCTGCTCACGGGATGCACTCGATGAGCACTAAACAACCTGTTACAGATGATTTACCTTACGTGTGTAAATATTTTTTTGTTTTCTTTCGTGGGGGTCTGCCCCCAAAAACAGCTATTAGCGTCCTGAGAAAGTCAAACTAAGACGGTGTGTAAACTACCATGCCCAGCCAAAAAAAAGTAACCCACTTGATTTCTTAACTAGGCAGTAGTAAGCGGCAATTCCAATAATACCCCTCATTGATAGCAGCACACAATCACATAATAGCAATAATAATTGGGTCGAGGGGGGCGCGGCTGTTCTTGTGTTCTCTCACGGCCCGTCCACACAACGCGTGGTCTGACGCTTCACATTCACTTTGAATGGGGTGACGTCACCTTTTCGCCGAACTGCACTTGTGGGAACGCGACGCGGCACAAAGTTGAGCACACTGCTTCAACTTTTGGACGCCTCGGCAGAAGCGCAGCCAATCCGAATCATATGCCAGTACAAGCTCTACAATCAAACCGGCTCGCTTGTGTGTCCAGGGGCGGGAGCATTCATGGATTGGTTGTTTGTCGAGTTTCACGATCTCTCTATCCGCTCGGTAGGCGAAGCGAATTTGGACGGGCTTCATCCTGTCCTCACACTGTTGATAAACCGCTCTGGTTTATGATATAGATTATATTATATGTCCACTTTTCTGGTTTTCCCCCTGCCTTGTAGGTGTGTTACTATTAGGTTTGGTTTTTATGCATGAAAGGTCTGCAAAAGCTAATAATCCCTGTGTTCCTCCAGAGTTTGTTTCTCTCCCGACCGACTCCCACCACCCCGCCAAAACTCATCCATTGGACTCCTTATTTACCTTCCAGTAATATGGTGACTCACTATATGTAACGCTCAAGCTTCTATTGGCTAAGACGCTCCAACACATTGTACCTGATTAGGCTAAGGGCGGGGGCATCCTGTCTCCTCTTGCAGGTTCATTTTTGGACTGAAAACACCTGGCGTTCCTTATTCAGATACAAAATCCATATTCAAAGCAGTTTTCCTGCAGAAATGAAAGAGAGGAGGATCAGATGAACCAATCAAAACACATGTCACGTCAATACATGCAGAGATCGAGCCCTGCATGCCAACCATATTAGTCGAGTAGCTGCAAAACAACTCACCTACCTATCTGACATATCTGTACCCTGTCACTACAATCCTCTGCGAACTTTGATGGTGGAATTGAGGTTGCCTCACTATTCATCTTACGTTTTTTCATTAGTTCATTAGTCATTCCACCAGCTCTCGGGCAAACCTGCCTTGATATCTCCCTCAATGTCTCAAAAGACCCCGACCTCCACCAGACAGTCTTTAGTTTGTTAAAGAAGATTACAATCTAATTCAGGTTTGCCTTATTCCAAATATTGTATTAGTATTGGGACCATAGTTAGTTTCACAGTATGTTATACAAATATATTACGTTAAAATACTCAAGGACTTTAAAGAGGCCTTTTGGGGTTTTACTCTCCTGTAGTGTTCATATATAGGGGCTTTTGTGCATTCAATGGTTTAAAAGGGCCTGCTTGAACCACCTCGATTGGAACTCCTTTGTTTACATTCCTGAACTCTCAGTGACATCACTATTTAACCACTTAGCACTTCTATGTTGGTAGGCACTCCAACACGTTTACGTGATAGCTAGGGGCTGGGACACTCTAAGTGGTTGACCAATCCCAACAGAGCCGGCGCAGGCTAACCACTCAGAGACAGACTGGGCTCTGGTTTCAGACAGAGGGTGAAACAGACGGTGCTGCAGCACAGGTAGCTATGAGAACAATAAAGAGCTTTTTTGAACATTAAAGCATGGAGGACATGGTTCCGTAAGAACACTCTTCTGATATACACTGCTGAACATCAGCACGGGAGCGGACTCTTTAAAGTAGGACACTACATAAACTGGGAAATATACACCTGAACATCAGCAGGAGAGGA